TTAAAAATAAACATTCTTTCCTGATTTATAATATTATAAAATAAAGTTTCCAGAGCTAAGTTTCTTGTTCAACTTTTTATTTTCAAGCTTTCAGACTTGTCAATCCTTCAACAGGAGTATCACGTTAATAAATTGATGATAAATACTATTTTTATATACAAATTATTATTTACATATTTTAAATATTTATGATATTGAAAGGGAGATAAAAATATAATACATTCTTTGTGTGTTAAAAACAAATTTTTGAAATCAATTTATCATCAATTTATTAACGTGATAATCCTGTTGAAGGATTGAAAGTCCGAAAGCTTGAAAATAAAAGGTTATACAAGAAACTTATCCCTGGAAGCTGTATTTATTCTATAACATTCAATCATTCCCTCGAAGCTAGATGATAGTAAGGACACATTATGATCGTTTATGTGAAATTAGCCCAAGTCAGAATACAGCTTTGTATAGATTGCTCGAAGCATATTATATATTTATAATTATATGTAATTCTGCTGTCCTAAAAGCTTATGTCCATAGTTCAGCTAAAATACCCATTCGAAGAGTCAAGCATCAGTATCACTATAAAAGGAAGTTCCAAAAATGCAATATAACAGCGGTATGGTAGATTAAACTGGCGAAACCGCTGGGAGGGTTCACCACTGATGAGCCAGGCCCTCCCTTTAATTTTTCCATTGCAGTAAGGGCAGTAGAAATTGTTTTATTTTAAAAAGAATATTACGCGTCTAAAATAGTTTTGTAATTTGATAACAGATGGCGCGCTAGTGCATCGAAATATATAGAAATAGTAAAGAAAATGTTTTTCATTGGCCCCTTTAAGATTCCCATAAAAATGCTCTAAATTTTCAGTCTTCCATCTCAATATATCAGAGCAAATTTCAACATTTAAAAAGTTTCTCTGGAGCACCTACAGATCGAGCTCTGTCGATATAAACCTCAATTCATTATCACAGGATTGCAGATTTCGACAAATTACAAAAAAGAATAAGACTTCGCAACTCTTTGTATTTACTTGATTATATGAAAAGCTTTCGGAAAAGCCCTTCTTCATCTATAACTAAACGTTTTAGTTATCTGAAGAAGGAATTTTGCCCACAATTTACCTTTAATCAAGTAAATAAAAAGGAGTTTCAGGTTTTGTGCCATTTGTAATACATCTCAATTGTTGATATCCGTTACCAATCTTTGCGTGAATTCTCAGGATCAAGAAATCCCGAATCTATTATATTATAGATTTTCTCATTGTCTTATTTCAGTCCAATTATTTTTAAAATGCCTCATTGTATTTTTTACTATAAACTTCTTTAACATTATTTATTTTGTTTATTTTTAATGAGGATTTTTTTTCTAAGCATCTAATTCGTCCGGTGTTAAATGTGAATTGTCACATCTATAGTTTATCTTTTTTTCTGTGTGAACAAAAGTCAATATTTGACCAAATAAATTCAGTGTTAATAAATATCACTTTAGAATGCACCATGGAGTTTTAGTACTCAGCCTTACATTTTTGTATTTCAGTTTCATCACCAGGGTAGCATCAGAAGATTTCAAGTTTAGAAACTGGAAGTTCCCCGCCAAGACAGTCTTCCAGGTCCCCATCGCGGCCTTGCACCGTCTGCAAGACCTGTGGGCCAACCCTGACACCTTTGACGCCGATAGGTAAGGACTTAGAAGCTGATAAATGAGGACAGGTAGATGAATTCAAATATCTGTGAGCTTTCCTTAGGAATTTCAACAATAATAGGCAAGGATTTCCCAAGACCTTCACTGATAATTAGGAACTTCCCGAGTCTTGTGCAGTTTTACAAATCCATTCTTTCTCCAGGTTCGATCCTGCCAACAAGCCGGAGAGTATCTTCTTTCAGCCCTTCGGCGCCGGTCCACGCCAGTGCATCGGCTTGAGACTGGCTCGGCTCGTCTTCCCCGCACTCTACGCCCAGATGCTCCGAAAGTTCAGAATCAAGCTGTCCAAGAAGATGCCAGGAGTCAGTATTCTTTTTATCTAAATGTTAAAATATTTAATCCAACAAAATAAGCATACAATATTAGGAGAATTCTGAACTATTATGTATGATTCTTTTAAAAATTAACCAATTTTATACTGCCTTTACTGTAATAAAAAATTAATGTGAAAAATCATTGCAGTAATGGCAGTAGAAATTTGTCTAATTTTTTAAATAATCATACCCGTCTATAATAGTTTAGAATTCTCATAACAGGTGGCGCGCTAATGTAACATAATAAAAGATTATGTGTGAGCCAATCAGTAATTCTCACTAATATCTACTAAATATAGGTCGGAAAATTGTGGCCACATTAGTTGTGTAAAGTTTGGAAAGCCTAATCGGAGATTAAAGAAAATTTATTGATCTTAATCAGAGACTAATCTGTGCAGAGAGATATTAAAAATAATCAATATTTCCCTTTAAAACACAATAAGAGGAGATAAATTTAAAAATTCTAGACACACAACTATATCATTTATCCATATTAACTTCTGTCACAAAGAAATTAATGCTTTAAATACACAAAGCCTTTATTGTGACTCTCTGGTCTCATACAGATTCTCCATTATATGAGAAAGGGTATTATATAAGTAAAAAAAAAAGAAATTCAAGAAAGATCCAGTTAATTAGACATGTCTTTGATTTTCAAGACCTTCATGTAAAATTTATATACATTTAATGTGAATGACCTATTATCTGACAGGTTGAATATTAAATAATATAATGTGGCCCGAGCAATTCCCGGGAGTAGCAAGTCTCCTTCTAAGTCAAGAAACGAACATTCTAACATGTAGTGTTCTAGTTCTGCCTTGGTTATGCTTTTACATAGTGTACAATATATATCTTCTGGTTTTAAGTTTTTAGTAATGATATAAATGAATGGACAGTAAATTTCTCAAGGTCAGGAATAGAGATAAGTCTGTGCGATTGAAATGAATGGTTAGCGGCATTCTTCCAGTCACCATGGTGTTGTAAAAAACGCGACTTCTAAGCTATGAATCATTTTGATATTCCATAAAAATTCCTAATTCTAATTTTTCTGATTAAACATCTTCACAGATAGTTCTCCTTCAAAGATAACAATTAGATAATAAAAAGGCATATATTGGATTCAATAAAAGATTTATTTTGCCAATATTTCGGCTGGCTGAACGCCAACCTTTATCGAGTCATTACATTTTTGTATACACAAACTCAGCGCCGCATAGTGTTATAATATCACAGTTAAAATAAGTATTATAACACTATGCGGCGCTGAGTTTGTGTATACAAAAATGTAATGTCTCGATAAAGGTTGGCGTTCAGCCAGCCGAAATATTGGCAAAATAAATCTTTTATTGAATCCAAGATATGCCTTTTTATTATCTAATGAATTAAATATGGATTGCTATATTTTCAATACATAACAATATTTTATTAATTTTCCAGTTTTTCAAAAATGGAAAATTAAGCCAATATGTACGACCTCGTTCTATCTGCAATTCAACTTTATAAAATCCACTTTAGGAAATTCGGTGTATATCACATGAAATTTCTCTATTAAAAATATATGAAGATCTTTCACATAAGATCTATACTACCATATTGTGATATATAAACTTATGCTTCCAAAAAAAAAATTGTGCTAAAAACAAAATTATTTTTATTGAATTACAAAATAATAGAATGTGGTCAAAATTTGTTTAAATATTTGTTTTGATTTGATGTGATTAGACACATTATTCAGTGGGTCTCATTTTTACATGTTTGTATATAAACATGATCATTAAACATAAACATAATTTATTATCGTGATACTCCTGTTGAAGGACTGACAAGAGTCCCAAAGCTTCAAAATAAAAAGTTGAAAAAGAAACTTAGCCCTGGAAGCTTTATTTATTTTATAATAAAATTAAGCGTCGTCTTTACTTATTTTATTTGTGTTTACATATTAATAACTCAATATGTAAAATATATGCAAATTTTTATTTATAAACTCTCTGTAATATTCTTTTTGTAGAATCATCATTTTATTGTTTGTTTTTAACTTTTCTCACACAAATCACAGAGTGGAAGCCTGCATTTTTTAATTTCTTGCAAAATAATAGTAAACTTTATATTGGAAAGAACTTTCCCTTCTTCCAATGTTGTAATTTTAACGTTATTTCCTCGTTCTGAAAATAGCTTGTTTTGTTGTGAGTCGGTAGAGATCACAGAGTGTACACATGCCAGCGAGTATATATATTGACAGGTAGAAAATTAGGATAGCCTAAGGATTATTTTGATAGAAATAATTCAGCCTTAGATAGATAAATGTATACCCCAGGATATCCTCTGGACAGAACGCCAACTATCCTGGAGAGAGAGCCTTATTTACATAAAAGATAGACAATGAGAGAAATTCTATGAGTAACAGAATATCCATATTCTTTAGATAAAACAATAATCTGTTATATCTTATATTGTCGGCAAAATTACGTCTGAGCAAGAAATTCAGACTAAGGTAGAAATTGAGTTATCAAATATACAGTAGACATTTTATGGATAAGAAATATTTAAACTAATTTTTGATCATTAATGATGAACTTCAAAGACGAATTTCAATGTTGTTTCTTTTCGTTATAAATTGGCCAATGTTTCGAACGCGCTAATTCTTCCTGAACCCTACTGAATCAGCAAATAGCGGTGTTTTTAAAGCTACCAAAGTTGATTAACATATTTACAATACGGATGTTTTCATGGTTCTTATTTAGAAACACACACACAGCTAAAGTAATACAAAGAAAGAAGGTACCTAGATCTATATGCTAAAAGACAAAAATTAAAATATTTCGATTTATTAGATGAACTAAGAAGAGTTAGCATGTTAGGTAATATAGAAACATTGTTATTATACTTACTATTTTACTCTCTACTTATATAATTGCCTTATTCTGTCTGTGTGAAGTTCACTGTGTGAAGTTCACGGATAGATTTTGGTCAGAATGGATAAAATAAAAAAAGTGTCAAGGGATGGGAATCGAACCCACGACCTTCCGCTTACCGGGCATATGCCATGACCACTAGGCTACCCAATACATGATGAAATCTTTATGAAAATTCACATTTTTATTTTTATATTTTCAAGACACACACAGTTTGGGGCGGGACGTTTCACAAGAGAGACATCCACGGCGCCAATTTATAATTGTAACGAATAGTATTTTAATTAAAACATTTTAAAAACACACAGTTTGGAACGGGACGTTTCACAAGAGTGACATTCATGGCGCCAATTTATAATTGTAACGAATAGTATTTGAATTAAAACGTTTTTAAAATATATACGCACTCGGGTAAAACCCGGGCGTTGCCCGGGCCATTCGGCTAGTATATTATACTATATTAGTACTATACGTACTATTTTTACTAAAATATACATCTTTTCAAATTACAATTTACAAAATAACAAAAAGGACAAAATTTCAGACTTTTAGGTGGTGTCGGGAATAGACTGATTTCAATATTTCCTTTAATTTTTTTTAATCGTTTTTTTAATATGCTTACAGAGAGCATCTAGAAGTAAAATAATCGCAGAATATACACAAAAATTGCTAATATAAGTAAAAAATAATTATATAAACAATAAGTGTAAGTAAAAATTCGTATAAAAATCGCCTAGTAATGGATCTTCAGAGAATATCACATCAAAACGTTGTAATATCTAAATTGGGTATCTACACATTTTGCGACAGCATTTGTGAGATATGCACCAAGCTTAAATTACCAAATCAGGTCTCAACTTAGAGAGTTATAATAAGGACATTGCACCATTACCGACCCACTGTCATCATTTTCCAGTACTATCTAGTCAGTCAGTATGTGGAATCCTGCCACAACGTCGTTAATAGAGCTGGAACGAATGGAGACGATTGCTTTACACCGCGAGAAAGTCTGTTATATACTTCAGCCAGAAATTCAGACTTTATAAATGATAAATGGGTATTGTAAGGCGATAACAAGCCATCTATATATAAGAAATAAATGCCATGTTATCACCTTATAATTAATTATACCTAACTGACCTCTTGTACTTATTGTGTGCTGAAGAGCATATTCAAATTTATTCAACTGTAAATACAAAGCGCGATGTCCCGCCAAGGACACTGGCTCCCAAAGGAAAGCAATACAAGAGAGAGAGAGAGAGAGAGAGAGAATCTATTTACATATAAAAAAACATATGCTCAAGGCATTTACATATTTTTGAAATTGATTTCAAAAAAGCATACTATATACATAGGTAATTTAATTTAAACACACCTCAAAATAAAGGAAAAAGGAAAAAAAGAATCATATATACAGCAAATAGTATATTCGTCACCTCGACATTCCACTCTAGAGAAACTTGCCAACATTGTTGTATTGTGCTGTAAAAAACAATATCATACGCAATAATAATAATAATAGTTAATTATACCTAACACTTGAGATTAATTAAAAACTTTGATATAAATTTACAAAATCTATTGAATACAATGTATGAATCCCTGCTGGATATCAGTTCTCTTGGATCGGTACAGAGGATACAGTTATTGAGTCTGTAGTCTTGAAATGCTGGGCACTTAAGTAAAAGGTGAGTGGAATCTTGAATGCGGCATCCACAAAAACAGCCCGGATCCTCCGATGCGCGGATTCTTCCCAGAAAACTTCCGAAATTACCATGGTTGGTTACAAATTGTGTGTTGTGGAAATTAGGGCGAAAATAATTAGGAATACCCCGGTTGAAAAAACTTGTAAATGTCTCGTTTGTATTATTCAGTAAGAGCAACATTCTTTCGTCTATATAGGATTTAATTATAAAGGGAATATCGATGTTGTATTTTTGCTTGTCCTCGAACGATAAGTTATTTAAGTCATATTTCATATTTTTTGCTTCAATGTAATCTGCAATCAATGGAGTTTTAGCCAAACTGTGAACACAGTTGTACGAAGTTGTCTTGTAAGCTTGAATGCTCCATAATAATATCTGATATTGCATTGAGTTTAATTTTTGTATCGATTTTTTATTTAAAAATTTGAACCATATTTCTGATCCATATGTTAAAGTTGATCTGAATAAAGATTTGTACAATGTGATTCTTTTATGGGAGCTCAAACCCCATGATTTTCTGCACAGAGAGAATAGAATTTTTTTTATTCTTAGAGTTCTGCTCACTATTTCCTCTATATGAAAAGCAAAATTTAATTTGTTTTTCTTCTATGATTTGCAATTGTTATTCCTAAAAATTTTATTTTTTTGTACTGGTGAAATTAATCCACTCTTAAATTTAACTGGGATCTTCTCTTTATTATGCAAATATAAAATGTTTGTTTTTTCGGAACTGATTTCTAACTTGTTCTTAATACACCACAATTCGATAGTATTTAATGCTTCCTCTATAACTATTTTTAGTGATGCTAGATCTTTATTCCAGCATATGATCGAAATATCATCCGCATAACAAATCGACTCACAATTGGGCACCTGCAAATTCATCAGCAAATCATTCAACAAAATTGTCCATAGAAGTGGAGAAAGCGGACCGCCCTGAGGACACCCCTTGGTAACTGGCTTTGAAGTTTTTAGATTGTCGTAACTGAAAGAAATGAACCTGGAATTTAAATATGATTGTAGAATTTTGATCAGTTTTTCCGGTAAATTATCTGAGTCTATTCTTTTGATGATCGCTGGCCACCAGGCATTATCAAAAGCCCCCGAGATATCTATTGTAACTAGTGCAGACAGTTCTTTTTGCTTATGCTCCATTAAATACATCGATTATAGTATTCAAAGCAGTGATGGTTGACTTAGACTTGATAAATCCGTGCTGCCTCGAGCTTAACAGATTGTTTTGAATATAAAATTCATAGATTTTATTTTTGAGAATTTTTTCTAGAATCTTTGAAAAATTTGATAATAAAGATATCGGACGGTAGCTTTTAGCTGATTCATAATTGGTTTTGCCGGGTTTGGCTATTATTTTGAGTGCTGCTGTTTTCCATTTTTTAGGGAAGTATCCTATTTGAATACATTTATTAAATATTGAGTGTAAAATCGGAAGTATTAGTTGAAAAGCATTCTTTATCATATTATTACTAATATTGTCTGGACCAGGAGCTTTATTTACATTAATTTTGTCGATTAGCTCTTCTATTTCTTTCTTATGAATTTTGCATGAGTTGGAGTTTGTAAAATTCGGTGTATAGTTCCTTATTGATGTATGGTGAGCAGTATCCAATATAGTTGTATCATCAGGAATTAGTTCATTAATCAGATTTTTTATTAGAGTTTCTTTAGAATCTACTGGTGCCTGTTCAATTATTGGTAATCCCTTTTGTTGATTAGAGGAACACAGTTTTTTTAAGGTTCTATAGGCGTTTCCAAACGGATTATTAGATCCATTTTCTTCTATAAAATCTCGCCAACTATTCCTCTTAGCTTTTCTAATACTATTTTTATATTTATTTCTGACAGACTTATATTCATTAACACTAATTGCTTTATGATGAAAGTATCGATTTCTCACATAATGAAAATACTTTTTCTTTTGTTCTAATTCTTTGTTCCACCACTTGATCCCGGTATCGAAAGTGAAGTTGGAAGATTTCACCTCCAGTGATTGATATGCAGCTACCAGAATTATATCCGATAGCCTGTCAACTACCATGTCAATATCAGTTTCCTTTTCGACTTTTTTTACATCGTTTTCCAATCTTCTTACTTCCTGTTTAGAAATTGTATTTGAAAACAGTGACCAATCTGCTTTCTTTTCGCTAAATTTCCATGTAGATTTTTGTTGATTGTTTGTAATATCTAAGTTAACATTGATATCAAATGAAACTGTCACATGGTCGGAAATCTTGGTCAATTCAAAAGTTTGCCAATTGTTTACCAGTTTCAATGAATGTCTATTTGAAATAGTGAGATCTATTATGCTTTTATTACGACAGGTAGGAGTTTTGTTATTGTGAATAAAAAGATTATATTCATTAATAATAGGTTGCATTTTACATCCGTTAGAGTTTGTAATTCTATCGAACCAAACCGGGTGACGGGAATTAAAATCTCCACAGAGGATTAGGGGAGTACTCTCGAAGGTAGCTATCAAATTCTTTAAAAAGTTCAAATGTTCGTCATTGCATTTGTTTGGAGGAATATAAAAGTTTGCTATTATCGTCCTAGATTTAGGTGTATTTATAGAGATTGATGTACAAAACTGATTTGTGAAACCCTCCAACTTCCTATATTTTATATTTTTATTATTTATAACCGTTGCAGTATAAATGTTTTCTGTTGAGGAACAATGTACTATGTGAGAGTCCATATCGAACACGACCTTTCTATTTAAAACATAAGGCTCTTGAAGAAGGAGAATATCTGGAGGATTGTCTCTAATTGAGCTTCTGAGTTCGGTAGTTGCAATTATACTTTTCCTAATGTTCTGTTGTATACATTTAATTTTTCCTCTGGTTAAAATTTTTGCTTCTTTCATAATGGACATTTATGCGAAGCGCTTATGAGCCTGTTGTGTAATCTGTTCGCTGAATCATCAGGCTGATTTGTTTATTGTAAATTGGACAATCCTTAGAATTTGGTTTGTGATCAAGATTGTTATTTTTAAAATATGGGTGTTTGACGCAGTTGCAACACTTTATTATACTAGAACATTGATGTTGACCCTCTGTACCGCAGTTCACGCATTTTTTCAAGTTTGGGCAGTCGTTTTTCTTGTGGTTAGGGTTGAATAAAAAACAGTTCTGACATTGGTTAACCAGGACTTTGTCTCGAACTTCACATCTTTGTACATCAGTATAAATTTTGTTGGCTTTCATTATAGCTTGGTAGGCCCGAGGCGAAACCCTCAGCACCACATCATGATCAGGTTTATTGGACTTAATTGGGAAAAGTACCTTTAGTTCGTTTTTAAAGTTGTTAAGTTCTGGGTTCATCTCACAAATTGTGTTTGTTAGATCAGATATGTCTGTTGATTTATTTACATTTTTTATAACAATAGTTGGATCTCTTTGATTAGGCTTATAGATTTTACATGTTTGGTTCAATTCA